GTCCGTCAACGACTTGTAGCGGTTGACAACAGAGCGTACTTAGAAAACGTCAAATTGAAAATAAATATATTTAATAGTTCCTCAAAAATCCAAACGGCATAATGTGTTCAGTAAACTGTTTTTTTAAGCTGGTGCATCATAAATACTGTTCATAACTTTATAAGTTATTCTAGTCTACTTTGTTTATTACAAGAGATAACTTGCACTAATCAGCCAATTAAGAGAATTAATTTTGGCAATTTTTTTATCTAAAGCGTGTTTAAGAGAAGTGATAATAATGTGAATTGTACATTTTCCACAGCCCACTATTGAAACAATTGGTACTCGACGTTAAAGAGATTCTGTATTGTTTCCAAAGCAACTATGATTTGTACAAAGTTCAAAATTAACCGTCAATTTGTTCTAACAACCGTTTACATTGGTATTAGATTTCTGTGGAAGCAAATTAAAAATACAAATACTGATGTAGGAATTTTCACTTTTATCTTTGGCAAGAACTGAGTATGTGGCACATTTTTCGTATTTGTAGCAATCTGTTTACTTGGATAGTGGTCAGTATCGTTTTTAAATAAAACTGCATAATAGTGAGAAATGTTTATGCTTAGAGCAATTCAAGCTAGTTTATGATACGAGACTTGGATCCACTCCAATATTTATGCAAACACATGTATCTATTTAAAAAAAATCTAGCTGGGTATCACAGAAAAAATGCAGACAATGTTGGAGCGGACGCGAAAATCATATCTATAATTGAACGTGGCCACTTTCCTACGCCTGATCTCAATCTAATCGATTCCATAACAGACTACTTTAAACTTTAATACGATAACAGTATTCTTAGTAACATTTTTGTTATTTATGTAAAATTTGCGACGAAATTAAGTCCTCATTTTTATAATCATAGCTACTGTTGTTAATTGTGCATTGTAGATATTATTTTACATGCTAGTACTTGTGTGGAGGCGGGGATAGTATACTATTATTAATTAAAACTTTTTTTATTTCTGAAGCAGATATTTAGAAGTGTAGTCTCCAGTTCCCACCCGCCAATCTAAATACGTCTTTGACTGCCCTTGTACATAATTATTCCGCATAAAAACATACAGAGCCCATTCGGAGTGGGTAAAGCAGGCTATGACTCACGATCTGATGATCGTAGACCCCAGGTCCTAACGACTTTTGCTGTGTTATATCCCGGATGAAATCTCAGAAGAGTAGAACCTCGGAAAAACCCCTATACAGGGTGTAGACTTTTTCAAAACGTGTAATTGTTCAAATCGCGCGCGGGTTTTTGTTAAATGTACAATCAAAATTATAGGTATTACATTTTTTTATTATGGTATCAGTGTTGCTTAACCAAATTTCTATTTCTTCAATCGAAAAACCGCATTAGAGTTTAATAAACTGTGTTTCCAGTGTGTAATAAATACATTTATTATCAACGTGGACATTCTCCAAAGAAGAGCAAGTATATGCGGTGTAGAAATGTTGCCAATCAAGAAAATAACGGCTTTCGTCTAAATTTCATTGTTTTTATTCAAGAAAAGAACCGCAACTAGTGAACGGTAGTCGATATCAAGTAAATTTAGGTGACACATGTGCTTTTTATAAATTTTATCTAAAATACTGTGGCTAAAAACGATAGAAATAGCAGGAATTAAAAAAATAAACGTAGGTAGCTATTTTGTTGTATGGTGCAACAGTGGTATCTACTTCCTTTCCCAAAATCTAACAAACTGATAGCATCTATCTAATCTAAAAAAACCGCGCAATTTTTTGCGGTCAAGATTTTATCCGACGAATTTTTTTAGAACTTTTAAAAGTACCACCAAGTACCAGGAGCGTCTGCAAAATTTTTCTGAAAGGGTACTTCGAAAAAGATATCTAAGTAGAAGCATCTGTCTTTGGATATTAGCATTTTTTTTGCAGAAACTAAATCAGAATGGATAAGAACGTATTCAGTATAACTTTTTGCCCGTTTTCAGGGTAGAATTAAAAAAATATAAAACAGAACGACAGATGCAGATCTGGTGGCTTTACTTTAAAGCTTCGCAATTTTTTTGTGTGGTTCTTGTATCTCTGAAAATCGATTTTTTGAAGACACTTTTTAGGCAGGACTTTTTTGAAGGCATTTTTTTAGAAAGAGACGGAAAGAATGCAAATTTAACCCGTATATTTTTCTGTACGGATGTGATAAAAATCATATTAAACAAAAATAGTTTTTTCTCGAAAACAGCTCACTTTATCGATACCAACCAAGAGTGCCTTTTTTAGTTTAAGGTTCAAGCTATCTAAAAATATAATTTTTGTATCTTTATCGTAGAGGGTGTAAAAAAAATTGACATTATTGTGCTACAGCTGGTCCGTCCCTGGCAAACCAAACAAGTCAAATTGTTTTCATGGGTCAATTTTTTAGTCTTATCTGTTGTCCATCGTATTAAAAAATAATTAAATTACACAAATTATTTTAAATGTTATTTAAAAAAATCGATTCTTCAGGGGCGTCCTTTAGGGGTCTGTAGGGGGGCCATCTAGGGAAAAAATTTATAGGAACTTGTCATGTATTTTAAGGTCCTCTATATAAATCCGAAAGATAGCCCACATATTCTGGGACACCCTGTATATGAAATGATAATTAGTAACCTATCTGAATGAAATCTCTTAAGTCATCATAAGATAACTGCCTCCTCATTCTAACTTTTGTTCTATTAATTTCATTAACTAAAGTAATTAAACTTATGACAGAAAAACTGTTATTAATGCTATAAAATTATTCTTTTTACTTCCATGAAGAATAAATTGCTATGCAAATTTTTAGATCACAAGACATCGTTAAAATTTCAAACTGATTTTTAAAATTCCTGAGATTCATTCTTATCTCATATATTACTTGACATATAAAATAATAATAGAATGAACATAATATATCTCTGTTATAGCAGATAGTAAAACAAAATTTAAACTAAACTAAAAAATTAAGGTGTATTTTGAAAATGAAAGTAAACTAAATACAGATTTTTTATTTGCTAGTTTCTTCTTCTCAATATTTTTGATTAGGTAAAAATAGTTTCATAAAAACAACACTTCACTAATATTTTTAGCACATTGACTGTTCTGATTAATTTTTAAATTATTTACGCAGATGGGAAAATACCCAAATAGGGTTATCAGCAACATTTTGATAGGAAGACTTCGTCATTTGACATTATTCCATAGTTTCCCTGTCTCAAATAAAATTATTTGGATTTGCCAAAAACTATACTCATTCCCTTTGAACTATATTGTAATACACAAGGACAAAAAAGCCAAAGTGATGGACATGGATAATTTACCCACTATTTAAAAACCCCAGAACAAAAATCTTTAATAAGTAGATACAGCAAAATAGGAAACAGGAAAAATTATAATATTCAAATACAATAGAATTTATTGGTTGATTTTTTTGTATAAAAAAAGTATGTTATGTTGTGTACAAATACGCTTTAACAATTTTTTTAAGTATATTTCTAAATTTTATTTTCCTTCAACACTCTATTCTTTAATTTTTTCATACAAGTACATACAAGCATCTTTTTTTTACTACAGTTTTTTGGCGTTTTTATCCGTCTAATGTCGTTAGTGAAAAATACTAATATTGGACTATAATTGGTTATTTTTCCGTGCTGGTCTTTATCAAGGGTGATATTAGGGTAATAATAATACAATATATCTTTTTGAAAGACTACGTTATTAATAATTTTAATGCCCTAGGTATGTGTTTTTGTACTAGTAACATTAAGACATATTACTTTTAACTTTCATTTACATAATTATTATTACTAGTTAGACACTGCTGGTACGATTCAATGCTAGCATGTACCCTATAAAGTAGTTGTTTTCTGTAATATCACAAATTCTTGTTCATGAAGTTAGATGTATTGTGTAGGATCTAGATATTTGGTACCATAGAATATTGTTTGAAAAATGTTTAAATTTATCTGAATTAGTTTGGAAATAAAGTAAAAATATTAGAGCTAATAATCAAATAAATATTAAAAAAAACATTACATGTAGTTTTGAAAATATTAACAGATTGACGTATGAATCGTTACGCAGAATTTTTATTTTTTTGCTTGTCAGATTTTTGGTTAAATAAAAAAATTACTTTGATCACTTTTTGAAATAGTAATGGTAACAAATAAACAGAGGAAAAAGCTAAACCTATGCTACAGATGAATACTATAATTTGAATTTAAAAAAACCGCAATGAAACGCCGATTTTTTGCATGTCTTCATTTCAAATTGTTGGTTAAATAAAACTAGTAACTTCGACTAATTATTAAAATACTAATACTAATTTAAAATACCCAAATAAACTAAAATTATGCCACAAACGAATACTATATCTCGAATTTTATAACAAAGTGGCAATGAAATAACATGTACCATTAAAAAAACTTCACGTGTAGTTTTGAAAATGTTAACAGATCGACGTCCGAAACGTTACATTATTTGCTTGTCAAATTTTTAGTCAAATGAAAATGGTTACTTTGATCAATTTTTAAAATAAATAATAACAAATAAACAGAGGAAAAACCTAAACATATGCCACAAATGCATGCTACAACTTGAATTTTCCGGAAAGCGTTTTCCCGGCTCCGGAAACCCCGAGCCGCGGGTTGCGACGAGTCGCCCCTGTGCGCGTTTTTTTCGCAGGCCGCCCAAAACGTGCACCCACCGACCTACCACCGGTAAAAAATCGGAAACGGCTTCCAAAGGTGAGGCGACCGTCGACGACGGCAAAAAAAAAGTAAAAGCGCTTTCCCCAGAAGCCAGCAGCCCGGCGAGTACTCGCACACAACACACAGATTTAGTGTTCGATTTTTTTATTTTGATATTTTTAATTGCGGGCCTGTACCGACACTCGTTATTCTGCGCATTTTCATTCGATGATGCGGGAGGGGTAGGCGGCACGCACTATTTTTTAGTGCTAGCTTATTACAGCAGATGTCTCATAGCCATGTCCCAATAAAGAATAAGCGGGCCTTCGTCATTTTTTGCGCGCTTGAATTTTTAATATTCGCCCGAATGTCGTGATGTACTGACGGTCGGTGTGCCATAGTTTGCGGAGTGACTCTCAACTGTTCAAACAGTTCGTATTTGGCGGGTTTTTTTTCTAAGTGTGCCTTCCCGGAAAGCTGACATCTGTGCATCGCGACGACAAAAATGTTCCTCTAACAAAAAAAATGGATCCATCGAAAAAAACAAAAACATTTCAATGACTGCTACCGATTCTCTCAGGTAATTCTACCCGCTCTCTACCGCTTTCAGCAACACCCCCCTTTAGATACTTTACCACTAACTAAATTAAAATAAAACAAATTAAGAAGCAAGCTTAGACTTATTTATATTATGTGTGTGGAATCTTACTGAAATCTTAAAGCAACCCCTGAGTGTCCTCGCCGGTCTCGGCTGGCTGTGCGAAATCATGCATAGAGATGCGATAGTAACTTGTTTTAAACAAAACAAATTCGTCCCTGACCGGTTGCGGCGTCTCGAGCGCCGTGCCGAGTCCTTTCGCTTTCGTTCCGTCGTTCCGCTTTTTTTTGCCGTTAGCCATGTTCCTGCTCGCCCCACTCCGCTGCCAGTCGTCCAATCAAATTTTTTATGTAATTTGCTTTTTAATGATCGAGCCCGGACGCGAACCTTCCGCGAGGGAACTGTGCCGCGTCCATCTATGATTTTTTCGCGGAGTTTTTTTCCCAGCTCGCGAGATTTGTAAATAAGCTTATCTCCTGACGGCTTATTATTACTACAAACTACATATTTCGCACTTCTGCCGATTCCAGTGCTAACTAGCATGGGTCACGTAAGTTGTTTTTCTTCCGAACGATAAATTATTGCCTTAATTCGCTTAAATAAGCGTTAATTTCGCGAAAATACGCCTGACATAACCTCACTTTCCTTCGATATTTTATTTCTGAATGGGTTTTCACGCAGTACGCCGTGGAATCACGAGAGTAACCGCAAAAAAATTCCCATTTTGAGACTTTTAATTATGCTTCTATCCATATACACTTCTGATCAACCGTTCCTCTATTTCCTTGCAGGTGAATATTTTTTACGATGGTAGATACACAACATTTCTGTCTGCGTTGGAACAATTATCAAAGCAGTATCACATCGGCTTTCGAGAACCTCCGTGATGATGAGGACTTTGTTGATGTGACGTTAGCATGTGACGGGAAGAGTTTGAAGGCACACCGAGTGGTCCTGTCTGCTTGCAGCCCTTACTTTCGAGAGTTACTTAAGGTAAGAGGTTTTTTGTATCTCACATTGCGTAGCCAGCTCCAAAAAACAGTTGAAGTCGCTAAGACAACTGAAGCGACAAAGTAAACTAAAAGACACCCATGAAATTCCTCATTTTTTAGTAAAACAATTGCAAATTTAACGTAGTTTAGGTAACTAGATGACGGAACTATAAATTAAATCTGTTGAAAAATATTACAACTAATCTGCTACATAAAAATACCACAGTACACTTATCTTTGTATTTTTTATTGATATGTTTAAAATTAAAACCCAACAGTTCATTTTTCTATGTAAACTATTGTGTGACATATAATGCCAATTCCAATTACTGATATGATTTTATGTTAGCAATAATTATAGTTTGTGTGTGGTTTTATTTTCTGATTTCATAACTGTTTCCTCGAGAACCGTTAAAAATAGAAAGATATATTTTTTTATCTATGTTCTCTTTACAGTCCAGTGCAGATAAGATACTTTATTCTGCACATTAAATTTAAAACAACATTTTTCTATATAATTTAGGTACTCAATTAATTTCTTTGGAAATAGATAGTAAAATATGTTTTAAAATATTTAATCTAGTTGATCGTGTACTATTTTTTTTTTATAAATAAAAGGTTTTGATTTATAAAAAAATATTATAATGTTGAATATTTATTTAGTTAAGAACTTGAGAAATTGTTTTAATTTTGAGATAGTAAATGAATAAACATTTTATAATATTTTAGGTTTTTTTATCTAAAAATGTGAACTTAAGACTTAACGATAGTGTAGGTACAAACCCATTGTCTTTGAAATTTATTTTTTTAGATATATATTTCAACTCAAACATGAGTCTACATAATCTTTATAGTTGCTAGTTGGATATTTATTGTTAGACACCATTCGTCCTTTTTAAGCTTTCTATTGTTAGATAGGATATTTATTATTTTTTTTATCGCTAGATTTACAACAAAGGTATAAAAATGCACTTAAAATTCGGCAAAACCTAGGCGCGAGCTATAAATCAAGATCAACTAGGCTCACCTTGACATATCTAATTTTTAATAAATTTACGATGCGCTAAGTTTTGCCACATATTTTGAATCGCGATCTCGCTGGCCATTCCCGACACCGTCGCGCCATCTAAGCGCGAGTAGAGCAACTATGTTTTGGGCGCCGTCTGCCCTTGTGGCCATTTTGGATCATTTCCTGTATCGGAATGGGATTTCCACGAAGCTTCCGCTGAAGAGAAGGGGAGAATCCAGGAAACTACTGAAATACGTACTCTGAAATAGTGTTTATTTGAATTTTCATTTTTGATTTGCGGAAAATATGGCGGAGCTTAAATATGCGCTAAGATTTTAAAATTTATTTTGGAAATTAACGCTCTTTATGTAGTCCAAGGTCAAAGGTGTCAAATTATACAGAGTGTTTAACGAATCATGTTTAGATCTAACGTAGCAGGAAATTTAATTTTTTTCTTAACTTTAAAGTATTAGTTTTAATTTCATTTCGATTAAAACAATAATTCAAATTCGTTACACGAAATTTAGAAATTTTAATAAGTGATTTTGACACCAAATATACACATGATTACTTACTATCGCAAAAATTTATGTTTTTTCTAAATAAATTAGTTTTTCGCCACATCATTTATTGAAATTACCGCTCAATTCTTTCTATAATTGTATATTCTAATTCTGCAGTACTTTTTATATACAGGGTATCCCAAAAATAACAGCTGATATTTTAAGTATCGAAGACGGTGACTTTTGACTAATACTTTTTTCAAAAATTCACACTTTTGTTCGGCATTTTGTACCTACTTGTATTAACTATCAACAGTTACAAAACATAACAGATAAAAATATGATTTTTCTCTTGTTCTGAAAGGTGAAGACTTGTAGAACTGATACAATGAAAAGACATTTCCTGAGTGTATCAAGTTGTTCATTTATGCACCCTAATAAATTAGCAGGAATTCTAGTGTTGTTTTTTTTTTGCTTTAAATATGTGACCAACATTGTTTCGAGTCGCTTACTATTTTTCACTTAATGCCAGCAGATTTTATGGAAGTTCTTATTGTTTTGAGATATAGACATATTATAGAGGGTGTTCTGAATAACACTAGCATAAATTCAGGGGCTGATAGAATTTCTAAAAATATTACAATTTGTCCCTATGAACCATGTGCGATGTACGTATCTTTTTCCGTCTTCAAGATACAGGGCGTTGAACATATTTTTTTAGAATCTAGTTTCGGTCCTATCTTCCACAAAATTCGACCGAATGAACTGAAATTTTGTTATGTGGGCTTTCTAGGATGCTAAATGCTCTGGAGTTATTAATTTTTGGCTATGTCATACAGGGCGTTCAGTGCAGTACTCCGCGGGAACATTTTAGGTCCTAACTTTTTTGAGGTTAATCTTTTTGCCCTTTTTGTTGCTTGTTGTTATGGCAAATTTTATTCTACATAAAAAAGGTGCTCTTGAAAAAAGTGCTAAAATTTGCACGTTTTCGAGAAAAACCAGGCATAGTGCTCCAAAGTCAAGCAGCTGGTATTATAAGATTTTCCAAGAATTTTTCACAATTTTCTTTTCCCTAATTCACTTTTGTTATTTAAAAAGCAATTAGCAATTATTTGGCCTCAAAACATGAATTTTCACATAATCTGTCTTCATTTAAAAAAAATACGAGAAAACTATTGGTAAAATCAAAATTTTTCGTAGGAGCAATTTTGTAGGAAATTTAATTTTGAACAACTTTCATATGAAACTTTTTTCGAAAAAATTCATCTTCATTGAGATATTACCAGTTTTTGGTTAAAAAACGCCAAAAATCATATACAGGGTGGTCCAGATTTTAATAGACAAACTTCGGGAATGTACTAAACAACAAAAATTAACATCACCTTGCTCTATGAACATAGGCGCAAAAAGCCACCGTTTATGAGTCAAAATTAACAAAAATAAAACAATGCTAGAGTTTCCTGAAATTTGCACATACCGAAAATTGCGTACTGTACTATAAACATAATCACACCCCGTAGGTTGTTTTTCGGAAACTATTAACACATGCATTAATCACAATTACTGAGTATCTTTACAAATTTGCTGGACAAAACAGGAAAGATACATTTTCTGATGTTCACATGTTCTCCGTGATCTTTCAGTGCGAAATATTAAAGGAAGTTGCTCTAGTTTAGTGTTAGGCTTCGTCACTTCCCGGGTGGATATACTTGTTCTATCATTGTCTTACTAAAACTGCGATTTCTTGTCTATAAAACAACAGTCGTAAGTTTTTTTGACGTTCAAAAATCAGTGTTTCTTATATTTTTGAGAATAGCTGATGTTTTTATGTAATATAGTTAATAATATGTAGGGTATACCATTGAAATTATATGATATTAAACTTTGCTTTATTATTTTAATTAATTTTGTATTTTTAAACCATATAAATAAAATAAAATTGATGTTCACGTGAATATGTTTAATCTAAAAATTGCGTTTTGCTTTTTCTACGCCCAAAAATTGTTATTTGAACAAGTTTTTGAATTCTATTAGTAAGTAAATCTTTAGTAATAAATTTTGTCTTGACTGCAACTATTGCAGGTGTCACTATTTCGTTTAAAAATTGACACATCGTTGCCATATAACCATTTTACTCGAACAATTGCGTAGAAGACGGATTTTCGCAGAAAAACATACGAAACATCAGAGGTTAATAGGTGAATCATTGCCGGGGTCAACAATTTCTAAACGCACGCACTTCCGGTTGTATCACCCCCGTATTTTACAATGTTAGAAATGCCTCTGCGGTGCGTTGGCAACATTGCGGCGATCTGGAAAGGAACTTCGGGGAAGCGGTACCTCTATTTTCCAAGTAGCTCGACTGATAGTATTCGCACATAAATACATATACGTGATAATTTTTTTGCGGTTAATGTAAATTTGACTCGGACTATGTCAGTCTGTAAGAATTTAGAAAAAGAGCTGTCGGCCGTCGTGTGATGTATAAGGGAGTGGCCAAACCACCGTTTCTACATATCAGAATGTTTGCGACATTCGATCATGAATTAATGTTGGTTAAAATAATCGGGAAATATGGAAAGGTAATAAATAAAAATATATTTCAAGGTGACTGGCCTGCGCAACTGTTGAATATACAGTGTGTTTGTAAATAAGAGCGAAATATTTAAGTTCCTTACATCGAAATATGCTTCGTTTCCGAGATAGCCAGTGTTTAAATTTAATTTTTTTTTTATTTTTATTAATTATTTCAGAGTTTTAAAGATATTGACTCGAAATTTGAAAAACGCTTTGGAAGGACAAATTTGCATTTTTTGGGGTGATCCGAATATTTCTACTTCCACCAGTGGCGTTCGTGCGGCAATGCCACAACCTTTTTTAATAAAAAAATGGTACGCCACTGACTTTTTCCCGTTTTGATATTTTTTTAGAAATTTGCCATCAATTCTGAATGAAATTGGTGTCTTCAATTTTTTTCGTAGGATGCACCGTTTTTTAGGGAAAAAATAAAACATATTTTATTACAAGTTGTGTATTTTTAATTTCTATTGACACATTATCTAGTAGGCTGCTGTCAATATTTCTAAATAAAATACAACCGTAAAATTTCGAGTCAATTTCTTTAAAACTCTGAAATAATTAATATAAATAAATAAATAATTAAAATTTAAACACTCTGTATCTCGGAAACGAAGCATATTTCGACCTACATTTGTATAAACTTTTTTTCACAAAATAACTTCGGCAACCACCCAACTTGTGTGCAAAAAGTAGGCGCTGTCGGACCATTAGTTTTGCTCAATTGCAATTTCAAATTTTTATGCATTTTTTGCCGGGAGTTTGCTTGCGTTAAAAATGGTCCGATTTTAATTCTAATACCGGTTTTCAAAACTAGAAATAAAATACTATAAAACGTATACTTCAAGTTGATATAATTATCTACTTCTGTGCCATATTTCAGCTCTAATCTTCATAAATGACAAAGTTATG